TGTAGTAAACTGATACAAAGTTTCGATTGTTCTTGATTCCAAAGTTTCTAATGTTATTTCGGTAGAGAAACAGAAAAAAGTAAAAGTTTCGATATGTCCACTAATTTCTCTTCACGTATATTATGTTTGAAGATATTTATTATGAACTTTTCTTAGATACTTCTACTTCAATTAAACACAGTTCTGGTTATAACATCTATTTGAGAGCATGCGCTAATGCATATAACATCAAATTGTATCTGAGTTTAAGCTCCTTTTGATGATTAAGGCTCAAGAACCATCTAAATTTTAAGCCTGTTGTTGGAAGTTATTATTGGATCTGAAAACAAGATAACTGCTTATAGTTCATATGTTTCGGTACATTTGGCTCTCTAATCAGGGTGCAGTGTCTACAGCTAGAGAGAACTGAGAGAGAAAATACTGGCACTTCTTTTCTACTTTTTACATGAGCTTTTGACACCATTGAAAAAAGAACCTAATCCTTTAATGGATAGTGGGTGGAACAGAGAACTTTTGTTGAATAAAAGTGGTTTGCAACTTTCTAAATCCCTAGATTGTTTTTGGGTCAAACCACATCTTAATTCTCTCAACCCAGCTCAATTAATTGGGCTAGTTGGTGCAGAGTTGTAGCTTTACTGTTAAACTTCGTTTTCATCTTATTACAATAACGGAAAAGTTCTTTTTTCTCTCCTTTGTTTGAAACCCAACTAGCAATACTTCCAACAACGTTTACATTATTTTCGCAATTAAGAGCTTTTGCTTACATCTGGCTCATTCCACAAATTATCAGAAGAAATTATATAACACAACCAATATCATTTCCAATGATTCATGACATGAAGCAAAACTTAGACGAAAATATTAAATTGTTTAGAAAAATTACAGAATGTGAGCTTCCCATGTAATATGACCTCAGTTTAAGACCTCATCGCGATGGCGAACGGTGACATCGTCTGCACCAAGTTCAGACCACATACCTTGGCGCAACTACTCGAGGGTAACTGTGAGTTCATAGAAATTCTTTTTAAACAGCTCAGAAACACATATCTATTCAAAAAAGCGTTTTAGATTATCGCATCTAAGATCGCATTTAGTTACCATGATTTCTGTGAAAAAAGCAGGCTTGACAAAAGCCTGTAATAAAATAGTGGCATGCCCAAGATGTTGGCTTTTATATGTTAAAATGGAAATTGACCAAGTTTGTCGTGTGATAAATTGCGCGGTTACCTACGAATTTCGACTTATATGCATGTGTGTTTGAGGTTTCGAATAATTCGGATGCTTTCGCAAATCATTCTAATAAATGCTATTTGACGCGTGATCTCCAAGCAGTTAACTCGAGCAATTACGAGGGCCAACCAATCATCCGAATATTGCATATCTATTTTTTTTTCTATCTTCATAGGCTTTCCAGTCGAACCAGAGTTTCGGCATGATTCATAAACAAAAATCTCGTCAGATACAGCTTCAAACAATAGTAGAAAATGATTCAATGTTTGAAGAATACTCCTTTCTGCCGGGTTTTGTGCAAGGGCAGAAACGTTTCTCAGAAGCATTAATTTTGGCCTGCAGCATCAACATAAGGTTCATTATTTCTTGAAAATCCAAAGTCTCGCTTAAATCACCTACATTGGGTTTTATTTCACATCCTATTTGCAACTCCTATTAGCTTACCTTTCGCCACATGCAAATAGATTTGCAAGTTACCAAAACATTTATTTTAACAAACAATTTTGCCTGGTTTTGCCATATTAGTGAAAAAGATGTAGGGCTTATTTGCCTTGAAAAGCTTTGTAATCGAAATAATAGGATCTTCAGACCCAAACGATCGACCAATTCACATTTTTGCTGAAGGAGTTTACGACCTCTTTCATTATGGACATGCACGCCAATTGAAACAAGTGAAAGAGGCCTTCCCGAATGTCATCGTTACTGCTGGTGGTAAGTTGCAGGGTCAAAGCTTATCTCTACATTATTGCAAAACGTAAAAATAAAGTATGAGTCAGCTAAGGTGAAAGAATAGATAAAATAGGTGGAGATCCATAGTTATGACAATATATCATCGAAACTCAATAACTTTTGAGAGAAATTAGTTGATTAAACAAGAAAAGTAATTAGAAAAAAAAAGCTTTAGAAAAGCAATAACTATCAAAATTGAGTTTGCTGGAAAATTTGAATTCGGTTAAGGAGGTCTTGATCTAATCGGAAGAATGTGCGGCTATTTTAGTAATTGAGGGTAAAAGGATAATTATTTTGTGTAAATGTGATTTACAGTATGCAGCGACGATTTGGTCATCAAAAACAAGGGCGGCCCCTTAGTAATGACGCATGAAGAGCGCTTAGCTTCGCTTCGCGAGTGCCAGTACGTGGACCATGTTATCGATCATGGAATGTTCTATCCTACTCTCGAATTACTTGATCAGCTACAGGTAATAGACCTAAGCTACTCATTGTTTAGAAAAATTGTTTGAGAAAGTTTTATCAGAAATCATATTTTTCAAAGAATCTTTTTTCACCAAAACCCCTTCTACTTGCTAAAACTTCTGGAATTCTTGAAAAATGCGTTATGCATCTCGAATGCTCCATTTTGAAGGCAGATTTGATAGCACACGACGACATTCCCTACAATTGTCCAGATAGTGATGACTGCTACAAACCTTTCAAGTTGGCCGATCGATTTCTAAGTACTCAAAGGTAAGGCTCCATAAAGTTTTCTAAGCTTTACCTTGGTGTGAATGGGTGAACATAATTAAGATTAAAACTTATAATTTTATCAAAAACATCGTTTGAAAACCCTACAGTAGCTGTGCACGCCACCAATGTCTAATTGTTAATCTCATTTAAATTCATCTTTACGATTTAGAGTTATTTATTGTAAATCACAGTTAAACCGTAAGAAGCACAAAAATGTGAACAGTACTGGGCACGCCTCCACTCTTAACTTATCTGTCGTATTTCACTCTATGCAGTTCCACATACTAACCCCGGATTCGACTGATTCCTGGGTTTTTGACAGAGACATATCATTCAAATTGAAATAAGCAAACATGCACAAATCACTGCTTCATTTGGGGTTCGAGCAACATCTTCAGATAGATGTAACAAGTTTTAACTGCTATATTTTTCTAGTATTTCGTTCCTAATGAAAAACAATGTAAGCATGTAAAATGGAACAAAAATGTCTGTAAGTAGGAAGGCTTAATATTCCATTTCTCCCCGATCACGATTAGCAGGACCAGTTTCATTGAATTTGTTTTTAGGACCAAAAACATCTCGACTACAAACCTTATCAGGCGCATTGTCGACAACTGCGAGGAATTTCGGGAGAGAAACTCAAAGAGGGAATCTGGATGAAAAGTTGTCTTCACTAAATATTCACCTCTCACAGTTATCTATTTTTTAAGACGCTATTTCTGTGATATATTATAAGCCTGTAACCCAACAAACTCTCTTATTTCAGTTTTTGTGACTAGATATATGTTCGCTGGGATAAAATGACATTAAGTGCTGTTTCTGTAGCATAAGGCCGCCATGAGTTTAAGTAGTGCAGTGCAAAAGCGCGCGTTTTTCGTCGATAAGGTCAGAAGTTCGGATCCTGCGTCTGCAAGGGACAGTCGAGTCCACATGGCTTCGGTTGTATAATGCTGGCGCTAGATGATAGAGACGTAATTGTTGCTTGTGGTATGCTACTATGCTTCTGCGAGTGTCAAATACTTCCCACAATTTTAATCTCTTCAACACGATGGTTGCTAAAACACAATATTCGATCCAAAGAAATTTCAATCAAAGCCACCGTCAAAAGTCTGCTTATTCTTATTAAGTAAAATTTCTACTCAAAACGATCTTGAGTCGTTTCTCAATGATATTATGTAGTATTAAGATTTGAATTTATAACTTTGCGGCTAGCGTAAAGTACTTTCCGTAGCTTGGGCAAAACCTTCAGCACCAAATGTTCAATAAAAGCGATCGCGGC